ACCAAGCCTACCACTACAGCGATCTATATCGTCACTTTCAAACTCTGAAAATTCTAATCTCAAGTCTGTATATCTTCACGTCCCCTGATGAGGACGATGGCGACACGAAAATTCTGATATGACGCCCTGTAGATATGTCTTCGAAGCATCAGTTCTATCTTTCGAAGGTGAATTGATGGTATCTGTCCAATGATACTATAAAGCTAACGTTTTCGTGTCTTTTCCGATGCACTTCATAGTGCGAGGATGCTGCCTCCAAGAGTCCAATGTGCTTTATGCTCGGGGCTGTCCTCGTCAAGGGTGGCAAAATAATATCGACCGGATATAATCACTATCGCACTCACTATGACGGGGATGATACCAAGAAGAGAGGTGGAAAGCCTCTATCGATGCATGCCGAGATGCACGCCATCTATAACGCTGTCGTACGTTTCACCCTTAACGATTCATCCTCATTTACACAAATATATGAAAGAGAAATGTATGCTGATAACTGCAAATCGTGTAGGGTGCGGCCCCTTCTTTCAGGATGCAATTCGTTCAAGCGAATGGTGCCACCCAAGACGATGCCCTCCACCCACTCGGCAATCAATCCGGTTTTGAACCGCGGAAACAACCAAACTCTGAACGAAAATCCATCGAAAAATCAGTCTCGGCGAAAGACACGATCTTTGACCATGCCCGCCACTCGTCCACAGACTCGACCTGCACTTCGCTCGGGGACGCGCCGCGAGTGTCGTGGTTTTCATGTGGTAAATCAAGACCACGCGATAAATCACCAGACTTACCAGGGTCACGAACATGATCGGCCGTCCCATGGTCAGAATCCAACTAACACATATGATGCACCTGGGCAACCCGAAAGACTTGTTCGTCGGAAGAACTGCCCTAGTTACGCGATGTATCAGCACCGAGACCAGCTGGCGCGGATGAAAGCCAAATGGGAGCAAGAAGAGCGCCGAAAGGCAACCAAGCAGCGTACCACTGGCGCAGCGCATGACCCCATTGATCATTTCAGTGATGAAGAAGACACAAAACCATCTAAGAAGAAAGCCAAGAAGAAGGGCGGCTCGACATCTGAAGAAAAGCGTCGAGGGGACGGCCAAGTCAAACACACAAAGCCGCCTGGTGTCCCCAGCGCCGATAGAGGGACGAAAAAGCATAACAATGGGCGAAGCCGGATCACTGGATCAGACCTTTATGTGGTGCGCCTCACTCGCTCTGGGACGTTCGGAAATGCAATGCCGTGTTGGAGATGCTTGGAATGGTGCAAATGGGCCGGTGTGAAGAGGATCTTCCACTACTCTGTCACTCGAGTTGAAGACTTGGTCGTAGGTGCAAAGAGTGAAGCCGGCAAGACACGGATTGGGAGATGGGAATGTGTCAAGGTCAACGAGGCAAGACCGGAAGACTGTTATTGGACTCAAGGA